TATATGTGTGTGTGTGTGTGTGTGTGTGTGTGTATATATGTATATGTATACTGTATAAGGTTCCTGGTGTGTGTGCGCGCGTGGGGGGGGGAGAGAGAGGAAACGTTCCCGGGCCGGCCTCCTCGCTCCACGCCCACAGCCAGAGGGAAGCGAAGGCCGCCCGAAGCCGCCCAACGGAGGGGAGGAGCTGAGCAAGGAGGCGAGGCGAGGCGACCGCCCTCTGCCCAGGGCCCTTCCTCTCTTTCTCCACACCCTCCTTTCGAGCACTTCCTAGGTCGAGGCCCGAAAGCGGCTGCGCAGAGCACCGGGGCAGCCAGAGCGTTGGGGCTGTTCGGGGCAGGAGGCTTCGCGGCCGCCGCGGAGGGGAAGCGTTGTGCGGAGTTGGTCGCCTCCGGCGGCCACCGGGGCACCGTCGCCATGTCTCGGGGCTCGATCGAGATCCCCCTCCGGGACACGGACGAGGTGGGCGGCGCGGGGGGGGTCGCTTCGGCAGCCGGGAGGGCCTTTTCGGGCTGGGGGTGTTGTAGTCGCTTCCCTTCGACTCCCTCGCCCTATTTGTCGTCGCGTCCCAGGGTGGCTGAGAGGTTTGGGGCGGGAGGTGCTCAGGGCGACCCCGTCCGCACTTCCTCGAGAGGAACTGAAGGAAGACCTTCGTTTGACTCGAGAAGTAGCCCTAAATAGTCTGAAATAAGAAGACGACATTTAGTGTTTCTTTTAAAAAGTGTTAGTCGCTAATAATAAAGATTGCAGGTTCCTTATTAGCCATAAAGCATAAATTAACTAATTCTTACCCATCTCATTATCAACTTTTAAGATTAATAAGGTGACGACAGGTATTTAATAAGGAAACCGATTAACCCCTGTGCATAGATTCTGCACCCTTTTAATCTTCCTCCTTTATGTATTGCATAGAGAGGACAGGACAATCTTGATAGGTCTTTTTTTGCCTGTTGACACAACTTTATGGGTGTCCCCAGGTGGGTGCATGGACCAGAGCACTTGAGAGGTATATAAGAAAATCTTCCTAAAAACCACTCTGTATGGGGCTGTGCATTTAAAGAACGTTGCAGTTCTCCCTTTAAAAATAAATAAATTTCTGTTTCTTTCAGGGCCATGTCACAAAAGACAAAATGTCTTGCATGAAAGTAACTTTTGTATAGGAAAGTGCATATATTCTGTATGTGATTTGTTATGTATGAACATTTTATTTATTTCTGTCCTTGTTTCTCTGCAAAAGAGGTAGACCTGTGTGTGGTTCCACCAGGCAGGTCTTCAGAAACCCATTCTTTAAGCATTTATGGAAGAGAATTAAAGCACTGTCAAGGAATATATTCTGGAAGACACCTAAATGAGATTGAAGATTTACTGGAAAATGCATGATTGTTAATGGTTCATGATAATTATTTGCGGTGGGATGTGTATATTTAGGAAATGTTTATTTCTTTTTAGGTCATTGAACTTGACTTTGACCAGTTACCAGAAGGGGATGAAGTGATAAGCATTCTGAAACAGGAACATACTCAGCTGCACATATGGATTGCTCTAGCGGTTGGTATTGGGATTATGGATATTTTTTCTTTCTTTGATCATAGAAGTAAAGATGGTACCCATGGATTGTGAATAGACCCAACTTTGTTTTGTATTTTCCCTGATACTTCCTGGGCAGAGAAGATGCATGTTATCTGAAAGTTTAGTAGTACTTGTTCTGCAAGAAGTGTATATAAAGATTGAACAGAAAGTTGGACTGGGTAGCTTCCAGAGCCCCTTCCTGTTCAATGAATATAACCATAAAGTTGAAATAGGAATATTGAGTGTTCTCATAATTATGAAACATAAATTTTTGCATGTGGGCTAGTTGTGACATTACTGCTATTTTCATTTCTCACTTCTCATTTATATTATTTTCTGATCAAACTGCCAATTTTTGGATCTTGTAAATGTGGGAAACATTCTGCTCACTTCAGTAGAGGGAGCTGATACACGAGTTTCAAAGAAGCATTGCTTACTCCTACCTTCCTTTGAAATGAATGGGTGAAGCTACATCTCTGTCTGCAACACACTGTTTGATCAGGTTGCATTTGTGTACCAAGAAACTAATAATTTCAAGATGTATTTGTTAGGCATGTAGTTATGAAAAGGAAGAATGGGTGGTCAGAATGGAATAAGGAAACTGGCTTCTTAGGTATACCGAAAACAAAAGATCCTTAGAAGGTTTTAATGCAAGTTTCATCTGATTTTCTGTCATCCAGTCTGAAAATGTCCTTACATTATATGCACTGTGTGTTTTGTGGGTACAGTCTATAATTATATGAGAGTAGCCTTGGGGTACTGTGAATGGTTACTAGGAACAAAGTGTCCTTAGCATAGAGGAACTTTGTGCTAGGTAATGCCTTGGATTGCTTTCTTATGGTATGCTCTTCTGTTCTTTTTAGAATCTTACAGTTCACATAATCACCACATTCTAATGTTTTTGTTGGTGGTAGTTACTGTGGATTGCACAGTATCTTCCTTCAAATATTTATGCTGCAATCAATTTTGTCAATCATGCTGTATTTTTGCTTGAATTAAAAACAGTAATTCAGTCATTGTCTTATAGCAGCTACTAGAATGAATTGCTTCATACTAGCATGATGCTAAAAGTATGTATCAGTATTTCTGATTTTTGCCTTTTTTCTAGTTGGAATATTACAAGCAAGGCAAAACAGAAGATTTTGTGAAGCTGTTAGAAGCTGCTCGTATAGATGGAAACCTGGATTACAGAGACCATGAAAAAGATCAGATGACTTGCTTAGATACTTTAGCAGCTTACTATGTACAGCAGGCTCGTAAAGAAAAGAATAAAGACAATAAGAAGGAGCTTATTACGCAAGCTACACTGCTGTACACGATGGCTGACAAAATCATCATGTATGATCAGGTAAGAACTGTCAGTCTTACAGAAATATACTGTTTTGAGGCTTGCTTTGGAGCATTGTTGCAGCCATGATTTTATTTGGCTATTGATGACTGTATCATACATATAGGTGGGTTTTTTCTTCTAGTGTGTTTCTATTTTATTAAAGAAGAGAATTCATTTGAGGGTAACACAAGGGTATTTGCAAAGAATTTGCTGATAGCAGTTTTGAACAGACTGCCCTATTGGGTTGGATAGGTTGTACAATTTCCAGATGATAGTTCATTCTCATTTGTTCAACAGTTACACACAAATGGCTGATACGCAAGCAGAAATCTGTTCCTACTTCTTTATAGTTCCTCTTGGAGCACAGCTAATATTGTTGAGGGGAAGATAGAATTGTCATCATTTTATGTGTAGTTTTTTTTTTTAAAAAGAGGTTGATAGGTGCATTTTTTAATCAAATGCAAAAAGTTCTTGACTTAATCTTTTAAAACATTTAAACTGTAGTAGTAGGGTTTTGTGTTTTTTTAAAGGTCATGAAAGCTTTTAGTTGCTTCACCACAACTTAAAAATACAAAATGCCTTGCTTACTGGCTTACAAGCTGCTCAAGGATCAGATATGATAGAGAAAGAAAAAGAAAGAGAAAGAGGGGTTATTGGGGAAAGCTCAGGTAGATTAGATGTTTGAAAGAAATGGCTGTACCTCAAGGGTAATGTGCCTGCTTTGTATGCTGAGGACCCCAGGTTCAGTCTCTAGAGTAGCTTAGTGGTCTTAGGATAGACCTATCCCAGAAATCCTAGAAAACCGCTGTCAGTTAGTATGAGCAGTGCTCAGCTTGTTGGACAACTAGTTTGACCTCATATAAAGCAGCATCACGTGTTCCTGCTAATGTAATAAAGGAGGAGAACTGAGGGTCAGATAGAACAGGAATGGAGAAGAAGAAAGTATGTTTAAAAGCAGGAAATAGTACAGTATCTATATAGTAGCAGTTCCCAGAGTTTCTGGCATCAATGCCCCCTTATGATTTTTTTTAGAGACCTTCATGCCTCTCCAGTTCTTTTTGCATTGCACAATCCCCTATTAACAAAAAAATTAGTATTTTAACATGAAAACTAAAGCCCCCAAACTGTGAATTAAAATTGAAATCAAATATGGACACATACATTTTTGTTAGAAGTTTTAAATTCTAGTAACAATCAGAGAAATTTGATTGACCTAATTTCCTTTATGGAAATCTCACAGTCCTGGGTTAGGAATGTCTTGCTGTCTCCCAGTTTAGGAGCCAGTGATACAGAGTCGAAGTTCTTAGGGAGGGTAGCATACAGAGACGTAAGGGACTAATTGATGTAATTATATTACAAAGAGTTGAATTAGGTGAATTTAAAAATCCAGTATTGTCTGTTATCCTTGTAGTGTAAACCAGCTTGGCATAACTAGTTGGTGGAATGAGGCAGAGCAACTTCTTTGGTGCCACATTCTCGTTTGAAAAATATTTTTCTTTTTCTTGCTTTTCTAGAATCACTTATTGGGCAGAGCCTGTTTCTGTCTTCTGGAGGGTGATAAAATGGATCAAGCTGATGCACAGTTCCATTTTGTACTCAATCAGTCCCCTAATAACATTCCAGCTCTTCTTGGTGAGATATATTTTTTGTTTCTCCTTTCCCCCCAGTTCCACTGCTGTGCCTCTCTGCTGGTTTTAAACCATTATGATCTCTGAGACACATTGAGATCAGAAACAGTTGCTATCTCTTGCTATGGAGTTTCTTTCCATTGCATACTTATAAAAGTCCAAATCTAAATATTGTTGAAAAGTTTTGAGATGGATCTGTTTTAGCTAGGCAAGACGTTCAGGATTCAGTTCAGAATGGTAATTTTCAAGAAGGTCTTGACATCCTTTGTTACAAAATGTAGAACATTAGTTGTGCTAGCATTTCCTGTACAGTACAAAATTTAAGTTACACCAGAAATCTGGATGTCATTTTGTTCTCTGGAATGGAGACTACATGATCTGTGTGTGGAGTAGCAAAGTAGCTGTTTCAGGTTATTTTTTATGTTTGTGTGTGTTCCTTCCAGCATTATCTAATTAACATGCTGCCATCCCATATGCTTTCGCAGCCATCAAAATAATAGAATATCTCTGCTTCCCTTTTTTGCCATCCTTTCATCATCCTTTCTACCATCTATATAGCCATCTGTTTTAATTTATCCTACTAGTTATTGTATCTGTTGAATGTTTGTATTATTTTATTCTTACTGTGTTTTAATATTGTGTTGTTTGTTGTGTTGTTGGTAGCTGCCCGGAGTGGCCTGGTTGCCAGATGGTGGGGAGTATAAAAATAAATAAATAAATAAATAAGATGTATGTGTATGCATGTGTTTGTATAACATATGTAATTGTCTTTTCTCTCCTCCCTCGTTTTCCAGAAAACATTGTTAGATTGTTTTTTTAGGGGGGAGGGTTTAAGTTATGACATTTTGAAAAGGGAAATCAGGATGCCCCTTGAAACAAAGTAAATTTTGGAAAGCTGTCTCTATTTTTCATATTAAATTTTGTTGTCTTTCATTAGGCTTCAGCCCTAAACAATTTTACTAGAGAAAAGCTGATTTCCAAGTAAATATCCTTATCCATTACATGGGGAATATTTGCTGCTTAAGAGGTATAACTCAGATAAAACAGTATGCTCTTTAATATGCTTGCACCTGGTAAAATGATGAGTTGAATTGAAGATTGTTGTGCAACCTACCTAGCTATTTACCTTACCAACTTTCTACTCCCACAAAATAGGTAAGGCATGCATTTCATTCAACAAAAAAGATTATCGAGGTGCCCTTGCTTACTACAAAAAGGCACTGAGAACCAACCCAGGCTGTCCAGGTAAGAACTATAAAATCTTCTTTTAATTTAATGTCAGTTTTTGTTTCACTGAAATTTAGATAAACTGAATAGTTATGTGCTTCAGTACCACCCAGGCTAATTCAAATAAAAATAAGATAGGAACAATGTTGCCTCATGTTGAATCAATATCTGCATAAAGCGATTGCAGCCTTTGGAAACACATGTGTTGGTAAAGTGGAGCAGAAAGGCCAAGATCCAGCTGTGTGCTTTGGTATCCAGCACCAGAAGAATGTGGATCTTTTTGTGCTTCTGTAGCCCTTTATGTTACAGAAAGCTGCAAAAATGATTAGCAAATACATGATTGCTGAATTCAATTTAAATATAACTTTCCTATCTATGTATTTTCTAGAGCAGTGGATCATTTGGTCCTGCCAAACTGAACATGTGGAGCAAAATAATGATGTCCCTTCTCTGTTGCTCATAATCATTTGTATTTTCAAGCCATTGACACACACATTCTGGAATCTTTTCATTTCTTTTAATTTCATTAATGCAGCATCTGGAAGATTCACAGATTGTAAGCCTGTGGGCAACATGTTAGAAACCTAAAGCTGTTACGAAGCACTTAATACGCATTCAGTACTCTAGGAGTACTACATAATGAATCTGCATTTCTGAGATGGAGATGTAAATAGAAAGGTTCTAAATCTTGGATTTGTTTGGCATTTCCCCCTACAAGCTGAGGTTCGCCTGGGCATGGGCCACTGTTTTGTAAAGCTGAGCAAGCTGGAGAAAGCTCGCCTGGCATTCAGCAGAGCACTGGAACTCAATTCCAAATGTGTAGGGGCTTTAGTTGGACTTGCCGTTCTGGAACTCAATAACAAAGAGGTAGGTTTGACCAAAAATGGTAATAGTATAATACTATACTTAATTTATTGTCTTGTCACAGTGACATTTATGAAGTCACTAAAAGTAATACCATATTTTTTCCTCAATTTGAAAATGAGTATAGCTCTTCAAGCATTTTTCAAAAGCAGGGCTAGCACAAGCAAGAAAAAAAATCAGTTGCCAATACAGGACGGTCAATTGCAGTTCCATCACTGTGTGGTGATTCACCCTGTGTAACTTCGTCATCAGAGGAATATTGAAAGTGGAGGGCTAGGCAGAGCTTTTTAGGATTAGGGACATATGGTGGATTAGACTTGAAATGAAATGCAAAAATTGATATTCTTAAATTCACATGCAAATCAGCCTTTAAAACATCTTTATTAGCTTAAATATTGAAGCCAAAATCTTGTTTGTTTTACTATGTACAGAATGGCAGTTGCATAAGTAGTTTGTTCTGTTTTTTTGGCAGACCATCACCTGACTAATTGAACAATAAAGGGACAGTTAGGCAGCCCAGAAAATAGTTTAGTCTGCTTTGCAGTAGACTTTAGATGATACTATAAACTCGGAGAAATCTGTCCAAGTAATGCCACATGGTGATATGTTAGCAAGTTCCGTTAAGGCACTGTGAAGAAGACATTCTGAGACATTGGATTCTGTACTTCTTACTAAGGAGAAAAAAGAACTCTCTGCTAATGAATGCAGGGTTTTATTACTTAAGGGAGCTCCTGTCAGAATGTTGTTTTTTCTTGTGATTAGAGTCTTTCACTCATTTTTGTCCGTTAGGCTTAGTGCTTCATTTTGATTCCAAAAATGGCCTGCTTTGTGTATAATACCAAAATGTGGCCTAAAGTTATGAAGATGAGCCTTAGTATGTCTTTAGCTAATGTATTCACTCTTACTTCAGGGCAGCCACGAGGAGAAGATAATCCCTATCTATTTTGGATGAATTGCTGTTCAGCATGTCTTTTAGTTGAAGTGTGCAAACTTTAAGTGATATCTTTAAAAAATTGGTATGTTTAAATGGTCATTAAGATTAGGCAGATGTAATCTGGGTTCAGGCAACTTGGTTGTAATTAATCTAAATAAGAAGCAAATGTTTCTGAACTCCTCTTCACCGAATATTTAAAATATTCTTAAAATATTTACTTAGAATATAAATGATAGCAAGCAGTATATCCTCATTGTCATACTGAGTTGCTGAAGAAATGAGGGAATTACGGTTTCATTTTAAGGGATACTCTTGAAAAACCTGAGAGTTTGTGGCGACCCTTATATTGTTATATTTACAGTAAAGGAAAAGCTGGAAAATTAAAATAAACTGAAATATAAATCATAATTTTATCTATGTTATTTTCAGGCTGATTCTATCAAAAATGGTGTCCAGCTGCTCTCTAGAGCATACACAATTGATCCTAGTAACCCAATGGTGTTAAATCACTTGGCTAATCACTTCTTCTTCAAGAAGGTAAGGCAACTCACATACTGTAGGTGTTAGTGTTGCTAGTTGAAAATCTGCACTTATTTGTTAGCAGACAATGTGTTACATTTGGATGCCTTTTGTGCTGTTGGCAGTAGTACAGAAGAACTTTTAAGCCATATTTTTATAAGGTCAGGAAGAGCAACGTTGTAGCTGTCTGAAATTCTCTTTTCGTCGTTATACGGTGCGCTCGTTAAGCGAGGCACCACTGTAAACTGAAATATAAATCATAATTTTATCTATGTTATTTTCAGGCTGATTCTATCAAAAATGGTGTCCAGCTGCTCTCTAGAGCATACACAATTGATCCTAGTAACCCAATGGTGTTAAATCACTTGGCTAATCACTTCTTCTTCAAGAAGGTAAGGCAACCCACATACTGTAGGAGTTAGTGTTGCTAGTTGAAAATCTAGGCTTATTTCTTAGCAGACAAGGTGTTACATTTGGATGCCTTTTATGCTGTTGGCAGTAGTACAGAAGAACTTTAAAGCCATATTTTTATAAGGTCAGGAAGAGCAACGTTGTAGCTGTCTGAAATTCTCTGAAGTCATTTCTTATTTAATAATATATTTTTTAAACTTGGGATTTTTTTTCTGTGTGTTCTGGTTGTGTTCCATTCATGGTAGTGCCAACGCATATGAAGTTCCTAAGTTTCTTCAGGCCTGTCCCGTACACTCACATGATGAAAATAATGGATAGTGTAGAAGTTCTATTAGCATTTTAGTTGTATTTTTTTTACTTTGGTTCCCACAGTCATTTCATTTTCTCCATGAGGATTTTGTTTCTTTATAGGAGATGTGTGAATTGGTCCTTTTTTTTTTCAACCAGTGCAAAATGGATAACCAAGTGTTCTAGATAATGACTCTGAATACCATAAAAAATAACTTCCTTTTCTTTGTACAGGATTATGGTAAAGTCCAGCACTTGGCTCTTCATGCTTTCCATAACACAGAGGTTGAAGCAATGCAGGCAGAAAGTTGCTACCAGTTGGCAAGGTCTTTTCATGTTCAGGTACGTTGTATTTTGAAAACCTACCTTTCTGCTTCACATTCATGTTTTTGAAACTGCTCACATGATGAACATGGCAATGTGACTGCTTGCATTCTCCCTTCTCCTCCTTTTTATATTAGGAAGATTATGATCAAGCTTTCCAGTACTACTACCAAGCTACACAGTTTGCTTCCTCTTCTTTTGTACTACCATTTTTTGGACTTGGTCAAATGTATATTTATCGAGGAGACAAAGAAAATGCATCACAATGTTTTGAAAAAGTATTGAAAGCCTACCCTAACAATTATGAAACTATGAAAATTCTTGGATCCCTTTATGCTGCTTCAGAAGATCAGGATAAACGTGACATTGCAAAGGTACAATTCTCTTTACAGTCAAGTTGCAATTCTTGACTCAATTCCTTGGGACCATGTTCCATTGATCTAAGTGGGGTTCATTTCTTGATCTGATATACATGAACTAGCTGAGATCACTTGGAGCATTTGCGGCTGATGAAGTTACATGCCTTGCCACTTATGTAGTCACCTGATGAAGGGACTGATAAACCACTTCCGAGTGATATTTACCTAAAAGAAACACTCGGAAGGTCACGATAAGTCAGAATCAACTTGGTGGCACTTCATTAATTGGTTAATCAATTAGATTAATCACGGAAGGCAGTTTCTTTTGGAGTAAGGGAATATTACACAATTTGTCCTCCATATTAGGAAGTGCCAAACTGTACAAATGTGCCTGTTTTCTGGATACAAAGTTTAAGACACATTATTAATTTAGTAAACATTTATTCATTTCAATGTCTGATACTTTGTTGTGGTGAACAAGATATTTTTAATACCTGTACTTAAATGTCTGAAAATCTTGTAATAGTTTTTGAACATGCTTCTTACCCTGTTCTTCTGTCAAATATACGATACTGGTTTTGTTAAAAATAGTGTATCTTATTTTGTATGTTTTGGTGGTAGAAGTGTATGTGCATAAACACTTGCTGTATTTTTTAGGGTCATTTGAAGAAAGTGACAGAACAGTACCCTGATGATGTAGAAGCCTGGATTGAGCTAGCCCAAATCCTAGAGCAGACAGATATACAGGTATAGATAAGGTGGATGAGGTTTGCTTTTTAAAAAGCTGTATAAATTACAGTATACAACTGAATCTACATTTTCTCTTCACTATCTTTGAATTTCACAGGGTGCTCTTTCTGCTTACGGTACAGCAACACGGATCCTTCAAGAGAAAGTACAAGCTGATGTCCCTCCAGAGATTTTGAATAATGTGGGTGCTCTCCACTTCAGACTTGGGAACTTGGGAGAAGCAAAGGTTTGAAAATCACCACTAATCCTATTAATGCTACTGTGCAACATGTTCATAAATTGGTCATCTAATTATTCTGCATTCAAAAATGTTACCTTCCTTGTTCCCTTTTCCCTACCCTTAGAAATATTTCTTGGCATCTCTGGATCGTGCTAAAGCAGAAGCAGAACATGATGAACATTACTACAATGCTATCTCAGTGACTACCTCCTACAACCTTGCCAGATTGTATGAAGCAATGTGTGAATTTCATGAAGCAGAAAAGCTATACAAGAATATCTTAAGAGAACATCCAAACTATGTTGACTGTAAGATATCTTGGTGCTGTTTTCAAAACTAAATTGATGCTTGTTGCCCCCCACTATTGCTAAATGCTGTACATTTTTATCATTTTAGTTTTGTCCCGTATATCTATGCATACCATATGTGTTCATTCTTGTGTTCTTATAACTGTGTCTTCATTGAGCCTTCCTTCGTGTAAAGTAATATGAATGAGCAGTATGCAGAACAGAAGTCCTAGTCAGAAGTAATTTTTGCACTAAATTTCACTATGTTCAAATGACCATATACTGTATAGCAAATGATCTTAACCGAGGATACCACCAGAACTCTAAGCCAGTGAATTTACCTCCGTCCCAATATATGCATGGAGAAAAGTGAAGTTACTTTAAAAGTTTCTGGTAGGAAGACTTATATACCTTACATTATTGCTTGATACTGATATTTATCACCTAGAGAGGGAATCTTGGTTTTAGCATGCTTTCCTGAGCAGAACAATACTCATGTTCCATATTTCAATTCAGTGCCAGTATTTTCCTCTCTGTTCAGGCTATCTGCGTTTAGGAGCTATGGCCAGAGACAAGGGAAACTTCTATGAAGCTTCTGATTGGTTTAAAGAAGCCCTTCAAATTAATCAGGTTAGTGTGGGTTTGGTAACATTAAACTCATAATAATAGTATTGTTATTGAAAACTTAAATAAATCAACATAATTTAATGAGTGCAAGATAACTCCTAGTTCCTCTGGCTCAAGATGGCCTCTTGTTAGTGCATTTTGGGACTATTTAGGGTCTGTAAGGAAATATTATTTGTAGCTCCCTTTATGTTCTCCTTCCTTGAGAGATCTATCAAAAACTGAGCTGCTTTGAAAGCAGTCCCCCCACCAAAAAAATCTGCAGTAGAAGTTAGTAAAACTTTATATTTATTTATTTATGGGATGGAATAGACCCTGAAAAGACCCTGATGTTAGGAAAGTGTGAGGGCAAGAGGAGAAGGGGATGACAGAGGATGAGATGGTTGGACAGTGTCATTGAAGCGACCAACATGAATTTGGCCCAGCTCCGGGAGGCAGTGGAAGACAGGAGGCCCTGGCGTGCTCTGGTCCATGGGTTCACAAAGAGTCGGACACGACTAAATGACTAAACAACAACAATTTATGGGATGAGGGAATACTCTTTTGGATTAGTATTATTTCCCTAAAATGAGGATATATGATGAGGATTAGAAATAACATTTCACACAAATGGGTTGCAATCTCTTTTTTTCAGGACCACCCAGATGCTTGGTCCTTGATTGGTAATCTCCATTTGGCTAAACAAGAGTGGGGGCCTGGCCAGAAGAAATTTGAAAGAATATTGAAGCAGCCATCAACTCAGAATGACACTTACTCTATGTTAGCTTTGGGCAATGTATGGTTACAGACCTTGCACCAGCCTACCAGGGATCGAGAGAAGGTAAATGACACAAGGGTTCATACTGTTCTTCTGGGGCCCCTGCTGGGTCTAGTTCAGTGGCTGAGCTTGATCTGTATTTAATCGTATGTGCTCACTGACCAGCTGATGTCTAATCAGCAAGCTTTCCTGTCTGACTTTGTCACTTATTGGAACACTACCCTGTTTCCCTGAAAATAAGACCTAAACTGTGTGATTTTTCAGGATGCTCGTAATATAAGCCCCACCCCAAAAATAAGCCCTAGTTGAGTGAAACCCTGCCCTCCACCATTGTGCAGCAACCAGAAGATGACATGACTATAGAATAAAACATGCCCTGAAAATAAGCCCTAATGCATTTTGGGGAGCAAAAATTAATATAAAACCGTGCCTTATTTTTGGGGAAACACGGTAGCAATGGAGAGGACAGTTGTTACACTGGCTATAGTAAAGCAACATTTTTCATCCCTGAAGGAAGTTAACCCTTTCTTATAGGGGTTGGATAGCCCATCTTTTCCTGAAGGTCTTGGAGTGAGCTGTTTCTGAGGCTACAGTTGTTTATGGTGGTTAATAATTGTGGCATTTTTTCATGCATAATGTTTAAAATGGTATTATATTTTTTCCTTAATGTTTGAAAATAATTTAATGCCTAAAAAGTTGCTGTTGTCAATCTTTATAAAAGTTCTGCCATTTCTGTAGGAAAAACGTCATCAAGATCGTGCCCTGGCCATTTACAAACAAGTGCTCAGGAATGACCCGAAGAATTTATATGCTGCAAATGGCATAGGTGATTATTGGATTTAGATGTTTTGCTGGAACTTTCTTCTAGCAATCTGCAGTTTTTGGAAGAGTGCACGGATTGAAAGTTGTTCTTTGGCTTCTCCTTTTTAGGAGCTGTACTGGCACACAAAGGATATTTCCGTGAGGCTCGGGATGTTTTTGCCCAAGTGAGAGAGGCAACAGCAGATATTAGTGATGTGTGGCTCAATCTGGCGCACATTTATGTGGAGCAGAAGCAATACATCAGTGCTGTACAGATGGTAATCCTTAAAACAGATAGCCTTGGGGCAGGTGTCCGATAAAATCCAAAGAAAAGGGAGGCTTTGTCACAGGAAAGGAGGGTTGTCGGTTTTTTTAAGCACTTGACTAGTTTAGTAACATCACATTAAACAAACATGTTTCTTTCTTGGAAAGTGAAAAGGCAAAGCTTTCTTGTTGCAAATTGTTATACTAAGACCAAGACACATTTTTTTTCCGCAGAACCATTACAAAGTCTCAATTTCAACTTGATCTTGTTTTGTGTAGAAGGGGTAAGGGGCCATCTTGTTTTAAACTGAGCTACAGATATGGAAGAGTTGAAACACCTCTCTAATCAAACAGTTGGAGATAATGAAAGAACTCTTGAAGGTTAAAAGTTGCATGTAATTAATTTTATATACATAAAACACTTTTTAAAAATCTGCAAAGATATTACAGTAATATTCCATGTGCCCCAGCAAACTTGCAACAAAACGTCTTCAACAAAGCAAAACAATTAGAAGTATTTGCTAATTCACACGAAGATACGAGTACTGTACCAGCTTATGATGGCCTGTATGCTGTTCGGTATTTAGACACATAGAACTCCTCACTGCCGTGGGAGCAAAAACAGCTTACAATATCAGGCACATAACAGGAAGCTCATCAGACCGTTGCATCAGCTTTTGCATTGCAACCCATGCATGCAGGAATGTTGATTAGGATACATGTCTGTATTTAATGCAGAGGTCTTCAACTCCTGGTCTATGGCCTGGTGCTGTTCCATGGCCTGAGCCAGACCAGGCCTCAGACGCAGACCTTCCATGGCCTGAGCCAGACTGGGCTGCAGATGCAGACCTCCCGCCTGCACTCACCTCCCCACAGCTGCTTTGCACATGTGCCAGCGCCGGTGTGAGCATTCCCCCACCCTTCACATCCCCACAGCTGCTTTGCACACGTGCCAGCGCCGGTGTGAGCACTCCCCCACCCTTCACGCATGCGCCTGTGTGGGTGTGTAGGCACTCCTGTGCATGTGTGAAGGGGTGGGGAAACACTCATGTTGGTGCTGGCATGCACGCACATGAGAGAGCATGTGCATGTGCCCAAGAGCGCCTTCCTCAGAGGCTCAGCCGGTCCGCAGGTTGGGGACCGCTCCTTTAATGGGTTAAAAGGAAATATGTTTCCTTTAAACTGTGCTTCTGTTATTATCCATAGCCCCAACTCTTTTTAGGAATTTGTATTCTGTAAATGTAGGCAAGGGTGGGGACAGATTTTCCCAACTATAGCCTAGTGTAGAAAATATGAGAAGAGGTGGGCTTTTTTTTGCCTAGTACTTTAAATCCAAAGTGAAGGTTTAAACAGAGACTAAATTTAGTAAAGTTAAAAGAATTGGTACATGAGGGACATAGGATTGGCTCCCAGTTGGAACTGCAGAAAATCAGCTCTCATAGTAGACAGGAGTAATCCTTGATTCGCTCTTATACCCTCACTCAAAAAAGGCATGCTATAGGACAAAGTTGGGGAACTCCCTGAAACAGCCTCAGAGATAACGGGGAAGGGGAAAAAGATTCTTCACCCATACTCCGACTTCAGCAGGGATTCTAGTGCCTTCTGTCAATAGAAATAGCCTTTCTGGTCACTGAATGACCAACCTGGGCCATAGATATTTTTTACTTCATTCTTGAAACAAAACAGTGCTTCGAATACCTTGAAGTTGTCACCAGTGTAAGTAGACTGGTGACAGCTTCAGAAAGCAGCTCAGAATACACCAAGTGGAATATTTGTGAAGCACGTAGGAATAGAGAGCTTGTCAGTGACTTGGGCATGTGTAACCAAAAAGCGTAACATGAGGAGCATGAGCCTAAAAGTAGGAAGAAGACAATGGGTGACATAATAATCCACAAGAACCCTGAATAACAGTGAGTCTCTCACTTCCCGGTCACTGCAAGGGGAGAAAGTCAGTACTTCACTTGCTTACAAATGTATTAGTCTTCAGACCTGCTTTGTCTCTGCTGTTATATAATATATTTAAATATTGATGTTGGCCCTGAAGACAGTTGGAACACAAAAAAAGAACTTGGGGTGTGGGAGAAGGGTGGAATGCCCTGTTTGGAGCTATTGGTTGCCTGGAACCTGAATAGGAACACCGCTCTTAGGAAGGAGGGTGCACTGCAACATATTACTTGTCAGTCTGGTTGTATAAATGAATGATTGCAATAGTTGCATTTTAGACTGTTCAGGTAAAGGGAGCAAAAACGGATTTTTGTGCAAACAGTTAACATATTTTCAGTATTCATTTGGCGTAATTGCTTACTTTTCAGTCCTTTAAAGAGTCAAGATCTTATATTTTTCTGTCCTGAAGTTTGTGTAGTAGCACTTTTTAGTTTCAGCAGTGAATACTTAATTAATGCACTCAGTATGGAAGAAGTTTCAACTGCACAGCATGTTTGTAGTTTCTTAGCTTGGCAGAATTACTGGCATCAATTACTGCATATACTGAATAGTCTGGGTAGCTACTGTAATGAAGAGTTTCAAAGTTCCTGTGATATAAGAAGACCTCATGTATTCTATTAGTCATTAGTTATTGACGCCAAGGAGAGCTTTGTTACTGTGCCAAATAACAGGTTGAAAGTTTGACCAGGAGCACAGCATAGAAAGTTTTTTTCTTTTCTGTTTTAAATAAACTCCATGCATCTGCTGTTTAAACTGAAAAAATAATCATTATTGCAAATGACATAGGGTAGCCTTTGATAGCTTGTTCACTACTCATATGCTACAAGGAATTCTGTGTAGGTGAATGAATGGGCTAGCAGAAGAGTGATGGATCTTTCTTTTCCTGGTTTGCTTTTTTCCTGTGCTGGGTGTGGAGAAATAGAGGTCTAGGCTGCTGTAGGGTTCCCCACTTTGCCAAGCCTAAAACTGGCCTTCCCCCACTATTCATGGTGAATGTGTTGCAACATCAGCTTGTGCATGCTGGGAGTAGTGGCTGGTTCATATCTGTTCAAAGCTTAATTTGAAAGCTATGTCAGTGCTTTTCCCCCATCCCCATAGCAGCCCACTAGAGAGACGTCATCCCCCAACCCAGCCTGCTAATATGTTACCATGCCAGCCGTGATAGAGGGGCCTTCTCCTTTTCATCATGGAAGTACAAGACATTGACTAACCTTTTAGTAAGCTAGGGAAAAACCTGCAGGCTAGAAATTATGAGTTTATTTACCAGATGGTCTTCAGTATCATGGTCAGTTTTGCCCCCAAGACTTACTGCACCCAGCAGGACTCATTTTGGAATAAACTTGCTACAAGTCTTGGAAACACTGCTAAGCTCAGTATCCATTTTTATAAAATGTGGGCTGTTTAGTCTCAAACTTTGAACTTCTGTGTGTTTGAATATTTTCCCTTGCAGTATGAAAACTGCCTCAGAAAATTCTATAAGCACCAGAACACAGAGGTTCTGCTGTATTTGGCCCGAGCTCTCTTCAAATGTGGCAAATTACAAGAGTGCAAGCAGACACTGTTGAAGGTACAAATTGGCCTTTTCCCCGTTTTTCTGTGGGTGTGTTGTAGCATCAGCTTATGCATGTTAAACCAGTGGCTGGTTCACACCTATTTAACTTAAAGCTTAATTTGCATCCTCAGGCCAGACATGTGGCACCCAGTGATACCGTTCTTATGTTCAACGTTGCCTTAGTACTGCAGAGGCTGGCTACATCTGTCCTGAAAGATGAAAAAAGCAACTTGAAGGAAGTGCTCAATGCTGTGAAAGAACTGGAGTTAGCTCATAGGTAATATTTTTATTTGGTGTGTATGTTTTTTGAAATCTGCATTGTACTAATGTAAGTACTGCATTCTAGTTCAGCCTTGCGCCTTGACTCTTCTTTGTAGAAGTTCATAAATTTGCTCATTGCTACTAGCCTTCTCATTCAAATGCTATCTGTTTGAATAAAGAGTTCACTGTGAATCTGTAAATTTCATTAGAGTCAGAGAGTAATTCCCATAGCAATCCTTACCATTAGTTTTTAGATACTTTTTGCAATAGGTTTAGGAAAATAAATTCATAGCCAGATTGATCTTCTTTCCCCTCCCCACAATGAGCTGAATAGTACTTACAGAAAGTTTGAAGGTAGTGGACCACCTTGTTTTAATGGCAATTTCAAGTTGCTGTTCTAGCGTGATAGTTGATGGAGCAGTTGAGCTGGTCAGGTGCAGCGAAGTCAGGAGTCATGGAACTTCCCAGTAGTCTAAAAAGAATTGGGAGCTGGAAGTTGAATGATAACTTTTCAGAATAATATCCAGCTGCTCTTCTGTTTAAGGAAACATAGTGTGAGGTCTTAACATCCAGGGGAAAAATTTCTAGAAACAGTGCCAGTCCTAACAAACTCTATTCAAGACTTCATATCTGTATGTCTTCTGCACGGGAAACCTGTTTTAAGAGACTGAAACTTCTGTTTTTCCTTAATGTCTCACTATACAGACAGCCAATTATTTTATCCTAATGTAACAGCACTTTTGCAATATTTCTGGGTGTGGGCGTGATTAGCAGTGCCAAATAGCTGGCTCCTCTTCCAGTAATTTAATGTGCCTGAGATTCCCATCAGTTGTTTGACAGGTTCTGCAGCATCTCCAAAGCATTCCTTGAGCCACCTTCAAGCTGAGCCAGACCTGCATAGAAAAGGGTGCATCATGTGTCCAAATCCATTGAAAGGAGAGAGAATTTTCCTGTCAACTTCATAAAGAGAAGTCAGTTGACAACCAAAGCGCTTTTGGGAATAATTTTCTTTCAGTGGAAAAGTAGGGATCTGATAAATGAGACTAAGTAATGGGGTAGTAGGTCAAAATTAGAGTATTGTGTTTAGAAGTTATCTAGTTTGAACTGACCAGAAATGTACATGGGAGAAAAAGATTATTAAGTTTTTAAAAGTTTTATTTTTAACTTTTATTTTTCCATTAGATACTTCAGTTATCTGAGTAAAGTAGGAGACAAAATGAGATTTGATTTGGCACTTGCTGCAACTGAAGCCAGGTGAGAACTATTAGTTCTGTTTGTAACAAGTACCTTATAACAATTGGAATAAATTGTAAAATAAGCAGCAGGTTTCTAATTTGCATGATACATAGATTGCAAGATTTGAGTTATATTAGTACAGAAGTTTAAATTAAAATACACTGAACATGGCCACAGTTCTCTTTTGGCAGAACAGTTTGAATTCAGGGTTCATTTATCTCCTGAACAGGAAGCTGACAGTATTCTGCCTAGCTAAACACTGGCAGTGTATATAGGCTATGCCCTGCTGAAGGACACTGCTTTTCTGTATGTTTTCTCTGAATCTGGGCCCCTTTTACTTGAACTGTGACAGATGATGTATTTTTTGATAATTTAGCTTTCTGGTAATAATGATACAAAGTATAGCAAAAGCAATCTTAGTTTTTTTCTCTTTTAATGTATCTCATGCACCTATATTGTGACTATGTCAGAATTCAGCCCAGATGTTTAATATATTTCCCCAAAGATCTTTTATGAAGAAAGGTGCTGTGTTATTTAATTGAACTCCTGTCTCTTCCCTCTCCTTCCCTCTCAATTTAGTTACTATCAAACAAAAAGCAGCTTTAAGCAACTTCTCTTGGTTTTTTTTTTTGTTTGTTTGCTTACAAAGGCTGAATGTGAGATTCTTAATTTCTCTGGGAAACGATGCAGTTCAGAAAATAACTAGAGCAATATACATTCTAAATCAATTAGATATATTAATGTCATAGAGCTAAACTTATGTAGTGGTGCCTCGCAAGACGAACGCCTCGCGGGATGAAAAACCTGCAAGACGAATGATTTTGTGATCGCTGTGGTGCCTTGCAAGACAGCTTCTTCTACGGCCATGCTTCGCAAGATGAATGTTTCTCGCAAGGCCGACACCTCACAAGACAAATGAATTATTTTCGTCTTGCGAGGCACCACTGTATAAGCATTGGAAAATGTGCACCAGTAAGATCTTGTCAATTGTGTCATAGAGTAATAAATGCAAATGGATAAGTGCTCAGTTTTTGTAGTAGTAGTTCTTCCTACTAGACTCTTCTCTGCCCGGTTTGAAGGGGGGAAAAGATTTGATTCATTGTCAATTGAAATTGCTCCAGAACAATTAGTGAAGGCGCTTCCAGATGATAAATAAATAAATGTTCCTTTATATGTGCTTACTAGTAAGATGTGGTCTTATTCAGCCAACAGCTATTCATTCCCCCCCCCAACACTTTGTTTCTGCTTCTGTCCGCAAATCTAACTCCAACTTAATAGGCAGTGCTCTGATCTGCTGAGTCAAGCTCAGTATCATGTGGCTCGGGCTCGCAAACAGGATGAAGAAGAACGGGAGTTGCGGGCGAAACAAGAACAAGAAAAAGAGCTACTGCGTCAGAAGTTGCTCAAAGAGCAGGTACTTTATTCCTTTAGCTGCTGTTGCATCAAAACCAAGATGCTCTTGATTGATTTCTGACATCATGTTCCCTGTTACGTTTCAGAAAAGCACAAAGTAGATATTGGGTGTGTGATCGCAGTTATGTTCTTTGTCCCGTGGAGTTTATATTAGGACTTGCATCTGCATAATAGTATACAGTACAGTGTTTTCAGCCAAACTGGATTTGAAATAGGTGATTGAATTTTCAGGTGATAGTAATTGATAAAGGGGCAGGTGTCAGACCACATGCATTGCTGCCACTCTGTAAATCAGAAGTCTCTTTTCAGTACTTGGATATTTTCATCGTGCTATATATCATTGCTTCACAGCAGACCATTCAAAAGCAGCTAATGCATTGCCAGTGTTTTGCACCATACAGAGTCCTAGAGGAATCTCTTTAAAAGAATGAACTCATATTTGTATTTTGCCTGTTTGCATCCCGTATTGTAAGTAAAAGCAATAATTATGTTATCCTTATTTTTCCAGGAAGAAAAGCGCCTCCGGGAAATAGAGGAACAAAAGAAACTGCTGGAACAGAGAGCACAGTATGTGGAGAAGACCAAGAATATTTTGATGTTCACTGGAGAAGTTGAAGGATCAAAAGAGAAAAAACGTGGTGGAGCTGGCCGGGTATAGAATAATAACATTTCCAGAATTCTGCTTTCCCAGGTTGTTCAAGTGTAGTTATAAGCTATGGCAAGTTTTTCGACAAGATTACAAGAAAGAATATGAAGGTTGTAGGAAAATGGTCGAACTCAAATATTGATGACAGAATCCTGCTGGGTCATTCTATGTATGTAGGAGAAATCCTGGAAGCTGCAGCTGCCAGTTGATGAAATGCTGGTCTCACATCAGTTGTGGCTGGTCATACACCAAGCACACACCCATTACATTGACAATAATACTTCTGTGATTTCTCTTGGATGTGCCCAATGGAATTCTGCCCTGTAGACTGTATTTGAAATTATATTGAAACAAAAGGGACTCATGCTAGCTATTGGTTTCCTGGTTGGTTAATACTTAGGTAATTGCTTGCATTGGCTTTAAAAAAGTTCTAGACAATATGTAAACAAAATCGTCATTTTGGGAAAGCTTGTGAGAACACAATTTCTTGGTAACACCTGAAAGTCAGAAGGATTGTTTGAGTGCCTAATCTAGCATGGGCATGAGGTTAAAGCTTCAAATCTTCCAGCTGTATATGTAGGGAATGCACATACACATGCACAAATATGTACCCAGGAGGCCCCCAGCAGAGCAGCACATAGGACCTCCTTGTAACATATTTTTAAAAGTTGGGCCACTTCTGCCTTACATGATGCTTCTTTTGAGTGATAACCAAAGCACTAAACCATCTTCTAAAAGGTGAAATAATTTTACCTTAGTATGAGTAGCTTTGGCAAGCTTTGGAGTTGTGAAGGTGTTATTGGGGTGGGGATGTCCCTTTCCAAGTCCCTAACCAGGCAATGCTTTGTGGGCAAATTTTAACTTTTAGACCCCCTTTGGGCAGCACCAGGCCTAGAAATATTTGGAAATAGTTAGTTTGACAGGGAGGGTCAGGCATTTCATGTTGTCCCCCCTCCCCAAAGTTCCCAAGGGGAAAACTGCCATTTTGGAGTATTTGATTTGTTTGTCAGGATCATGTCCAGCTACAAATAAAGACTGGTGTGTGGTTTCTGAATTTGTAACAGCGTTCCAAAAAAACTGGAGAATTTGATGAGTTTGTCAATGATGATAGCGATGAAGATCTTCCAGTATCTAGAAAGAAGAAGAGAAGGAAGGGCAGTGGCAGTGAACAAGATGGTGAGGAAGAAGATGGAGAGAAGAAAAAGAAGAAGCGCCGCAGGTGAGTGGTTTTGTGATGGTAAAAATCCTTCTGGCAGGGATTGATGACACATAATAATGGATTCAAGCTAAGGGAAGCCAGATTTAGGATGAATATCAGGAAAAAAATGTCTTGTTAGAGCCATATGACAATGGAACCAATTACCTCAGAAGATGGTGAGTGCTCCAATGCTGGAGGCATTCTAGAGAAAATTGGAGAACAATATGCCAGATGTGCTTTGATTTGGATTCCCACATTGAACAGAGGACTCTCTGTTCAATGTGGCCCCTTCCAACTCAATTGTTCTGTGATTCTGTAAAGAACATATCTACCCCGACCTTATTTGAAGAACAGGGTTTGATTAATGCCTGCTTTGGTAAACAGACCAAAGTATTCATACACTGTGCAGGCTTGTGGAGCTTTCATTACATATTATTACGTATGTTTTTATCTGTTTCAGAAACATTTGTAAGGCATTGTATTTGCGGTTGTATTGTTGCTACATTGTTTAAATCGCCTGGAACATGTTCAGGAATTGTGTTTATGAGACATTTTAAGGAACAAGAAATAAATTACTTCATTTGTAGTAGTATGAGACAGGCTCCAAACTCTCTGTTCAATGTGGCTGTTTGTGACTCTTGAGATTTGAGCTATGTGTGTGTTTTTTTCAAAGAGCTCCAAAGGCAGATGATGGTACTGATGATGATGAAAATGAGACTGCACCTAGACCTAAAAAACGCCGCCCAGCCAAGACTGAGAAGAGGAAGGTAGTAACTGGTTTTTGTTTTTTAAACCTGCTTTTCTATTTGCTATTTCTGTTTACTGGAATTATAGTAGTTTAGATAAAAGGCAACAAAATGAAGCATGATGAACAGTACTGGAAATATCAGCCCAACTCTTGTTCTAAACATACTAGTTTTCTGTGTTTGGACAGAATTGGGAATTGCAAATTATTGTCAATCATGAGCAAACTATTCAGATCCCTTCCATACGTGTGCAGGAGAGGGGCACTGTGTAAGGTCAGTGCATAGAGCAACATGACTTCTTACTGCATCTGGATTTGTTTAAAATCTACTTTGGGTGAAATTGCTTAGTGTAGTAAGTTGCACTAAGTAGATGTGAGGGTTTGCTCCCAGGCTCCTGACTTGCCCCAAATAAATCACCAGTCTTATGTGGTTTTGAAATTGGAGTAACGTTTATTGCGTTATTTAACAGGAATCCGGTGTCAACAAAAGTGTTCCAACCTTTCTCCCTGTCAAACAATGGGTCTGACAGGTTTCCATTCATCAACTTTGAAAGGGTTGGGTATTCCAGGGTCCCAGCCATTCCAGAGAGTCACCTGGGTTTAATAACAGTCCGTTCTGCCCCTCCAATTAGGGGGTTGTGTCCTCGTCTTGCTGATCCACCCAGGCGAGGTCTGTGGAGGGATCAGTCATCTCCTTAGTCTCTCTTTCCCCCCAGTAAGATGGTTTGGGGGTATTCTCTCACCTTCTCCTAGCATCGGCTTCTTCTTTGGGGACTCTCAGCTTTTCCACCTTGCCAGTCCACAAGTTTTCTACCCACATCCACTCTCAGTCTACAGGAAGTCCTCCTTCAGCCCTTCATATATCTGCTAACCTCACCTCCACCACTACCCGCGTTTTTTGCTCTGTTCCCACCAAACCAGTCCCAGTCTTCAAATTCTCCTCTATCCTCTCCGGGTCTCATCCAGGTTGTCGTGTCTTCCTGGGTGGGGAATTGGCGGGGTTTGACTTTCCTTATCGACCATAGGTGGGAGGGAACGTCAATCCCGCGAGAGGCACCTTGCTCTCACCTCCGGTCTTACAGTAGGCCCATTGAATCAGTGGGGATTTGGTAAGTAAGCTCCTCTTTAAATTCCATTGATTCAAATGGGTGTACTTCAGTTGTGACTTATTTTAGCATAGCAAGTCATGACTGGAGTATACCCATTTGAATCAGTGGAATTCATAGAGGTTTTGACTAAAGATGGGCAGGAACCTCGGTTTGGAGGTCCTGTCCAGTTCTTTGCCGCACTCGCACAGGTGTTGTGTGGGCACGGTTCCCTCCTACCTCCCACATCCCCTGCATTCTTGCCCATTCCTCAGGCAACATGTGCTTCCCTTCCAGCCTCTCAGGTGCGACTACCCACTCATCTTCTGCAGTGTCTCTTCCCTCTTTTGTTTTCTGTGTCAGCCACTCATTCAGAGGAGGAGGCAGAGCAGGGATTCCTGTAGCACTTCCTTTGAATGGGTGGCTGAGGGAGAAGGTGGAAGAGGGAAAAGATGCTGCAGAGGGCAGGGATTCCTGTAGCACTTCCTTTGAATGGGTGGAAGGTGGAAGAGGGAAAAGATGCTGCAAAAGGTAAGTGGGTGGTTGCTCTGGGGAAATAGGGAGGAAATCAGTCATCTCCCAAGGAATGGGCAAGCATGCAAAGGAGGGAGGAGGGCACCATCCCCACTCAGTGCTTGTGTGAGTGCTGTGATGAATTGGGCCGGACCTCCTTCCTGTAGCACTTCCTTTGAATGGGTGGAAGGTGGAAGAGGGAAAAGATGCTGCAAAAGGTAAGTGGGTGGTTGCTCTGGGGAAATAGGGAGGAAATCAGTCATCTCCCAAGGAATGGGCAAGCATGCAAAGGAGGGAGGAGGGCACCATCCCCACTCAGTGCTTGTGTGAGTGCTGTGATGAATTGGGCCGGACCTCCAAACCAAGGTTCCTACCCATCTCTATTGTTGCCTCATCGGTGAGCCTGAGCAACAGGATTTCAACCAGTGGGTAATAGTTGTCCATAGTTTCTGAAGCCATGAGAGGGACTAATGTTTGGAAGCTTATCCAACTGTGTGTTTTTTTTTACTGGATGTTTTTAATCCATGAGAGTGTACAAGCATTAATTCACTTCTGTCTAATAGCTGGAGTTTATTACTTTTCTAATATGAATAGCAGTTTGAAAGCATGTGAAAATATGAGTAGATAAATAGGTACCACCATGGTGGGAAGGTAACGGTGTTCTGTGTCTAGTCGCACTGGCCATGTGACCATGGAGGATTGTCTACAAATGCTGGCTCTATGGCTTGAAAACGGGGATGAGTACCGCGCCGTAGAGTCAGACAAGACTGGATTAAATCTCAAGGGAAACCTTTTGTTGTTGTTGTTTAGTCATGAAGTCGTGTCCGACTCTTCGTGACCTCATGGACCAGAGCATGCCAGGCCCTCCTGTCTTCCACTGCCTCCCGGAGCTGGGTCAAATTCATGTTGGTAGCTTCGATGACACTGTCCAACCATCTTGTCCTCTATCCTCCCCTTCTCCTCTTACCTTCATACTTTCCCAACATCAGGGTCTTTTCCAGGGAGTCTTCTCTTCTCATCAGATGGCCAAAGTATTGGGGCCTCAGCTTCTGGATCTGTCCTTCCAGTGAGCATTCAGGGATGATTTCCTTCAGAATGGATAGGTTTGATCTCCTTGCAGTCCAGGGGACTCTCAAGAGTCTTCTCCAGCGTCACAATTCAAAAGCCTCATTTCTTTGGCGGTCAGCCTTCTTTATGGTCCAGCTCTTACTTCCATACATCGCTACTGGAAAAACTATAGCTTTGACTATGCAGACCTTTGTTGGCAAGGTATAGCTACAGTAGCAATACATGATATTGAATCATAAAAGTTCACTTGTATTTACTGTTTTTGGCACTCTTTTTTTCTTTACAGCCCAGGCCTGAACGTCTGCCTCCTTCAATGAAAGGAAAGATAAAATCTAAAGCCATCATTTCATCAAGTGATGATTCATCTGATGAAGATAAACTCAAGATTGCGGATGATGGGTATGTAATACAGTGGTGCCTCGTATAACGAGTGCCCCATTAACGACGAATTCACATAGCATCTTCTCTTGGGAGGCACAGTGTGCAAACAAATTCCCAACAATCAGCACCACAACCAAGTACCCAATCCACTGATTAACAGCACAACATTAAAAGCTGACATCAGCTAGTATTCCCGAGACATGATTCAGGCAGATCTTCTAAATGGACCATTCATACTTTCAAATGAAGCCTGTGCTTATCTCCTAATGGCAACTGCAAAATAAGACAGTGTCTGCTCATGCTCAGAGAACTGGAAGAGCCTGAGATCATGTTTTTCATATCTTTACATTTGAAATCGAACCCACGTTTTTAATGTACAAAAGTAAAAACCAGTTATTTCCTAGATGACAAGTATAGTGGTGCCTCGCATAGCGAGGTTAACTGGTTCCAAAAAAAACATCGCTATGGGAAAACATCGTTAAGTGAAACGCGTTTTCCCATAGAGATGCATTGAAAACCGGATAATCCGTTCCAATAGGAACGGATTATCCGGTTTTCTCCCCCACTATCGGGTGCAGCCCTTCGGGAGAAGCCTCGGGGGAGGGGGGGAAGATGGCATCAGCTCCTGCCTTCTCCCCCACCACCCGGCTGCTCCCAAAGGGCTGCCCTGACTGTGCTTGCAGCAGCGAAGGAGGTGCCCGGTGGAGGAGAAAGCCAATCGGATCGGCTTCTGCCTTTCTTCAGAGCAGCCCGGCTGCTCCCAAACGGCTGCCCCGACAGTGCTTTCAGCAGTGGAGGAGGTGCCCGGTGGAGGAAAAAGGCCAGATCGGCTCCTGCCTTCTCCTCCACCGGGCACCTCCTCCGCTGCTGCAAGCACAGTCGGGGCAGCCCTTTGGGAACAGCCAGTCTGCTCCGAAGAAAGGCAGAAGCCGATCCGATCTCCCTCACACACACACACCGGGCGGCTTCTCCCGCTGCTCCCAATGGTGGAGGAGAAGGCAGGAGCCGATCTGGCCTTTTTCCTCCACCGGGCACCTCCTCCACTGCTGAAAGCACTGTCGGGGCAGCCGTTTGGGAGCAGCCGGGCTGCTCTGAAGAAAGGCAGAAGCCGATCCGATTGGCTTTCTCCTCCACCGGGCACCTCCTTCGCTGCTGCAAGCACAGTCAGGGCAGCCCTTTGGGAGCAGCCGGGTGGTGGGGGAGAAGGCAGGAGCTGATGCCATCTTCCCCCCCTCCCCCGAGGCTTCTCCCGAAGGGCTGCACCCGATAGAGGGGGAGAAAACCGGATAATCCGTTCCTATTGGAACGGATTATCCGGTTTTCAATGCATCTCTATGGGAAAACGCGTTTCACTTAACGATGTTTTCCCATAGCGATGTTTTTTTTGGAACCAGTTAACCTCGCTATGCGAGGCACCACTATACTTGTCATCTAGGAAATAACTGGTTTTTACTTTTGTACATTAAAAACGTGGGTTCGATTTCAAATGTAAAGATATGAAAAACATGATCTCAGGCTCTTCCAGTTCTCTGAGCATGAGCAGACACTGTCTTATTTTGCAGTTGCCATTAGGAGATAAGCACAGGCTTCATTTGAAAGTATGAATGGTCCATTTAGAAGATCTGCCTGAATCATGTCTCGGGAATACTAGCTGATGTCAGCTTTTAATGTTGTGCTGTTAATCAGTGGATTGGGTACTTGGTTGTGGTGCTGAATGTTGGGAATTTGTTTGCACACTGTGCCTCCCAAGAGAAGAGGCAGCCCATGTAGACTTGAGCAAGTTGCACATTCCCAGAACACCTCCAGAAAAAAGGAGTGATAAACTGTTGCAGACTACTCTGTACCTAGAAGCCCTGGAAAGGATAGTTGTAAGTCAGAATTGACTTGATGAACTGTTGCTGTTGTCATCATAGCCATCACCATCTCTTCTAACATGTGGTTTGTATGAAAGCCACCAAGAGCACATGAGTGTGTCTCCACCTTTAGTCTTATGTTTTTCAGCAACGGATAGGTCACCTCAAATGACACATCGGCAATCTGTCCTTCTGTTCTGAATGTGTTTAATGCATATTCTGTGCCTGTTGTTATTTTTCAGGAATGTACTATGGGAAATTGTATGGAATTTCTCATCTTCTATGGAAAAATAGAATCCTAATTCTTAACTGTAGCCTTGCAAAGATAAATTAAGTGTGATGAGGGAGAGGAATGCCTGCTGTTTTCTCAGTAATTAGACAGTGGCAGGATAATGTTTCTGTGAAAGACCAGGGATAGGGTTTCATTCCTCTGCGTGGATCCATGCCCTTCTCTTAGGTTACTGCTTACTGCAGATTTATCAATCTGCAAAAAAGCAAAAGGCAGACAAATAAAAAAAATAAATTCCTTAAAATAAATTCTCTCCCAGATTAGGCGGTATGCATACTTTAACTGCATGTTGCTGAAATTAGCTCTCTTTTGGCATAGGATTAAAAAATTCAGACCCTTTTTAAGCGAATGTATCTCTTAATGAAATTGTGTTTACATTATTATCTCTTGCCTTCCAACAGGAATGTCAGGAACAGCAACAGTGATTCAGATGACGCTGAGCAGACACGTAACAAGCGCATCATGTCAGATAGTGATTCAGACAATAGTAACAAGTCTGGTAGCGAGGGTGGAAGTCCCAGGCGATCCAGCGTCCGCCCTTCTGACGACGACTCAGATAGTGATGGGTCGGCGAGAAAGAGGAGACGATCTGATTCTGAGCAATCTGACAATGAGTCTGTACATTCTGGGAGAAGCCAGTCTGTGCGATCAGGAAGGAGTCAGTCTGTGCAGTCAGGAAGAAGTCGCTCTGGCGATTCTGAGAATGAATCTCGGCCAGCTTCTCACAGCGCTGATTCTGACAGAGATTCAGAGAGGGCATCTGATAATGAGGGTTCAGGTAACGACTCAGAGCCAGAGGCATCTAACAACGAGGGATCTGAACGAGGCTCATATGGTGGATCAGATGACAGTGATTAGGTTTTTGTTGCAGCCTGTTTTTTATAAACTGTAAATATATTTGGGTTGGAGAGAAATTGAGGGAAGATAGAAATGTCCATCTTCTATATTTGAAAACTGTGATTTGGAAAAACATGCACAACAATGTTTTAGGGGGAAATATTTAAAGTTTATTTCCTATAGCATTTTTCTACTGAAATGTACACATGCTAGATCCTGGTGTTCCTCTAGCACATGGTATCTATTTGATTCTGTTCTCATAAATCAGATATGCTGTACAGAGGACTAAGAAGCTTGCCTCGTCATACTGTACTTAAGGTATGAAGAGTCGAGACCAAGATGGTAATATTGCATCCACTTAAACTTGCTTAAGATTCCCCGGGGACAAATGGCACTTTAGCACATTTGACTGGGCATGTGGGTTACAGAGTGACCTCATAAGAATTTCTCAAATGGTGTAAAGGATGTTTGGGCTTACAAAGCTATCTTTGTGGCTATGTAGCTCTTCTAATATCTTTGTATGTTTTGTTGAAATACATTGCTGTAGCAAAATGTCTAAAATGGAACTAATGTATGAAATATAATGCTAGAGGGATGTAGATAATGTCATATTAGGACTTGGCAGAAAAAAGATCTGCCGACGGGATCTAATAAAAGCTCTTGCTACCATCTTTTCAAAGTCTTGTATTTTATTAGTTTTGAAGTGGAATTCTGTCTGTCTACCCTAGAAAGCTACATTGGATATACAGTGACTATTGAATTTAGTGTTACAGTACTTGGTTCCAGATAGCTGGCTGTTTAACTCAGTGGTTTAATTATCTGTCTATGGAGCCCAAGGTTGGGACCTCAATTCCTCCCTATGCCATCAGGGAGAGGAGCCAGCTTGGATGGCCTTAGGCAAGCTGCACAATCCCAGGATGCCCCTGAAAGAAGGGATTGATTAACCACTTCTTTATGGAAAACTGAAAAGAAACACCATAAGTCAGAATTGACTTGACAGCATATTAATGTTGCAGTTACCTTTCTTGTTGGCTGTCTTATTTGTAGGCCACCTTTCTCCCGATAAGAGAACTCAAGGCAGCTCTCAATATTAAAATGAATAGAATTAAAAACACAGTAAGATATACATTAAAAAACTATTAAATTATAAAACCGGTTAAAATACAATTGAATAATTAAAAACAGTTCAGTGCTAAAAACTTAACTAAAAATGATATTCAGGGACTCAGTCATGATTGTTAAAAGCCTGCCTGAAAGATGGGCCTTTAGCTCTCAGTGGAAGGATAAAAAGGGGATGGGCAACCTGACCTTCCAAGGGAGAGTACTCCATAATCAGTGAGCAGCGACAGAAAAGGCCCTCTCTCATGTCTCCATTAACCGTGCGTTGTCAATGGGACCGGGAGGAAGGCCTCCTCCGATGATCTTCTGCACCAGGAAGACTCGTATGAGGAGATATGGTCCTTCAGGTAGCCTGGACCCAAGCCATATAGGTAATAACCAGTATCAGGGCCATTAGGTGCTCCTTATAACTGGCCCCAGTCAGTAGTATGGCCTCATTTTGTTTGATGTTTCTGAACCACCTTCAGAGGCAGCTCCAAGTAGAGCACGTTACAGTAATTCAAGTGGGATGTAACTAAGGCATGTGTCACTAGCCAAATCGCATATCAAGGAACAGGTGTAGCTGGCATACCAGTTTTAACTGTACAAAAGCACTTGTGGCCACCATTGATACCTGGGCTGCTACTACTACTTCCAGGTGAATATGATACTCTACCTTCTTGAAGTAGTATATAAACCATAAAGATTATAGGGTACAAACAATATAAGTCACATCTGATGGTAAAGAAGTTTATGAAGAAAAATAATTTTAGTTGTGGGGTTTTTGGGCTGTTTGGCTGTGTTCTGGAGGACATGTTCCCTCCAGAAAACGACCAAACCGCCCGAAGAAACCACAACAATCATCAGATCCCAGCTGTGAAAGCCTTCGAGAACACAAAAATAATTTTCTCAAGCTGCTTATGAAAAAAAGTTTAAGCTTACTAGTTTTCTTCAATAGGATTTCATTTTTTTCATGAATCATTTAAATCTTACTCGTAAATAAGGTAGACCTGTTTAATCAGTTGTTGAATGGTGAGTCAACACTTAAATGTGGTTGAGTCTACTCTAGTTGAGATTACTAATAGGATTCTGACCAATATGTTGTAAAGTAATCATGACCTTGAATACTTTGATATGTGAGGACCTGAGAAGTACTTCTCAGTATGTGATCCTACCGATACAGATGAAATGCTTTTTGTTAAGAAGTCAACATACACACACAGTTTTCCCGCCTACATATTCCAGATTTCTTCCCTATAAATGAGTTGCAGGCACAGCTGAATAACTTTTGCATGGGAAAGCTGATCCATTCCCCCCCCCCAGATGTCCAACTCAGCTTCTGTGATTCATGAAATGATTTTCCAATCCAATAAAAGCAGAACAGAAACATGGCAATGTGATCTGAGTAAATGAGACATTCAAGAAGTCTGAATGACTCAGTTAAAAGCACTTGTGATCACGGTGTTCCTTTTCTTATTGCTGAAGTAACATGATTTGCTTGCCACCTCTGACATGGAATAGTTGGTCTGCTGTGCACTGAATCTCGTTTCTGGCTATCCTGTATCCAGCTCTCAGTGGGGCTCATTTGTAGAAACAAAAGGAATGAGACTTTGAGGCAGAATGAAACTGTATAGTGGGATGTGCTCTTATAAACAAGAAGTAAAGGGAAACCCTTTAACAAATTATTTGCCGCTAGAACCAGCGCCTTAGCTTGTTCATTATTCATTCGCTGCACAGGATTTTTAACTTGACTTTAAAATAGGCTTCTCAATGTCTCTTCCTAAAAGGCATGATTTGTTTATGTAATAATTCTTAACTAATTACAGTAACTAATGAAGGGTGCCCCAATCATTGGCTAGTTTAACAGCAGTGTAAAAAGTATAAGATTGTTATACCATTTCCACAAGAAGCTGCAGAATAACATTGCAGTCCTGCATCTGAGTTGACCACCTTATGAATGGCCAGTGCCATGGTACATATCCTAGCTATGTGTTAAGAACCCAGAGTTTCAGATCTCAGAGCACCCCCTTCCAGATTTAGAGGGCGGGCCCACAGTGATTCTACTGTTTTCTGTTGATCCTTCTAGGAAGCAGAGAGCAAAAAGGCAGGCAGTCGTACAGCTCAAACATGCATGTCTGTGGTCAGATATAAACTGCCAAGCTGTGTATTGTCCACCATACCATACCCAGCCACCTCTTGGATGCCAGAACAATGAAAGAAAACAACAGCAGCAGCAATTCATGCCATTGGATGAAAAAATGAAGAAGAGGCAATTCCACTTCTTGAGTACATCACTCTCCTTTGATTGCTGGTTCCAAGAGGAGGTCTTGAGAAGCAAGCCATGATGTAAAGGAGAGCTTCTGATGATCTCAGAAACAACCTGCTCTCTCATACCTTGTTTCCTAGGACCTCCCATTGAAACCAGAAAAGCAGGGCTGGGAAGAACAGTGGCTTAATTTCCCTTTTTAGTCTGATGTTGCCTGCTTCCCCCTTTCCCCCTCCCCATGTCAAGAGGGTTGCAATTGAGGTGGGGCAGAGCATGGCTTAGGGGAACACCACACAGTGCATTGCTTCCTGCTGCAAATGGGCAAGCTTGGGCTGCTTGCCATTATCTCATTGGTTTGCAGGTGGATTAGCAAAGGACAGGGCAATTGCTGTTGCCAGGCCCTCTAAATGTATGCCCTGGGGCTTAGTCCCCCGTTGTCCCACCCTGGTTACAGCCCTCAAAGAGTGGAAGAACTGTGGTCAGCCAGATCAAAGGCCTCTGTAAATCCAGCATTCTGTTCACATAGTGGTTAACACAACAGTGGCTGATTGTCCTGTTTTTACTTGTGTGTTAATGTTCTCAAGTGGTGTCTGACTTTTGAGCTTGGCAAGATGATCAAGAAATGGTTCACCATTGCCATTGGGGTTTCTCATGGCTGAGTGGGGATTTGAACCCAGATCTCCTAGGGCCTAGTCCAATACTCTGACCACTAACTGACACTGGCTTTCATTTTCTCCTGTCCACAAGGGTTTGAGTATAGTAGTAACCTCCTTGTGTTCCCAGCAACTGGTGTGGTACCTTCTGTTGAATGCTACATATTCTCAGCACATTTGGTAGCCTATGGGGTTAAGACTTGCACAAAACAGTATAAATATCTGGAATAAGGCGTGGGCCTTTCCCTTGTGCTATTTTAAAATTTAATAACATGCATTTATTTTATTACTATGAAGTTGTAAATTGGACAATGTTAAGTATTGGCAACAGTTTCTCAGTTATATGATATACCTGAGTATGGACTTCACTATTATAGATGAGGGCTCATGGGGCCCCTCTCTATCCCCTATACATTTCTTGCATATATAGAAAACTGGCAGGTTGATGTTAAGCTTTTCCCCTAAGCCATTATCCAGACAGACTGCTGACAGAACTGTTGCAGTTAGTAGAATCACAAAGAGGACACTCCCCTCTTGCAGTGCAGCTTCCCATGTTCTTTTCCAAACATTTGGAGGAAAAACCAGTTTGGGGCAACTTGGAACATCACAGGTATAGGTGGGAATGCCCAGAACCCACAGAAGCAGGATGGACTGAGGGGCATGGAAGGCAAAACAAGGTCCCAGGTGAAAGTCTACAAGAGGGTGATTTACACCTGGAGAGTGGGGCTTTAAGTTGGAGCAAAATGGTGGGGATCAGGCTTAAAGGGGGAGGATGACAAGAGTGACAGCTCATTGCCGTCATTGGATGCAAGGTCAGAAGACTAGGGAGAGGCCTCCAAGGAGTCCTCTTCTATCTTCTGTGCCCCTGGTGAGAACTGGCCACTGCTTCTCCAGGACCCATGGACTGATGAATGGATCAGCTTCAGCCTTGGTCAAGGACCGAATGCCCATTGTTGCCCTGCCCATCCCCCACAGTAGAAACTCAGGCACCTGGCCAGGTCATTGCCCAGTGGACCCATGTTTACCCAGAAGAAGCACTGGGAAGAGAGGGGATCACCAATGGTTGTGGTAGCTAATCAGGTAGCAGGATGAGCTGCCTGGACTTGGGGATCTCTATTGGCCTGGCATTACTGGCCCTCCCTGAAGGGTGTTAGTTGGCTGGGATCAACACTATGAAAGTAACCCAAGCCTCAGACTAGAGACGGATGGAACCATTTAAGGTAATCTGAATCCAGTTGATGGTGGGCAATGGGCTTGTGAAGAAAATTAAGCACTCCTGTGAACCGTTGGAAGGGAGATGGCCAAGAAGAATCTGTATCTCGCTACCCAAATCTAAAAAATACGAGCTCTTGCAACATCAAGAGCCTCAAGTTCACAAAATCTTTAGTTCAGAAAACCCTCCTGGCCACCCCAACCTTGGGCAGGGGTGACAGTGGTCACAGGGTTAAATACTTTCTCAAGTACCTTTATTCCTAAAATGAAATGCCACAACTCGCAGGCAGCTTTTAAAATATACTACATTCAGAACTTTTCCCATTGGTTCACACCGAAAAAGATACTAACTTGCAATATTTAATTGCCATTGTGTATGCATTGCTTGAGAAACTCTGGATTTGTTTTTCTGAGCGTTGGATTGCCTAACACCTTGATTATAATCTTGTTGCCTTCTCGTGTTTTGCAGTTCCCTCTGGAATGCTGACAGGTCAAGAAATGATTTCCTGCCAAAAGACTTGCTATGACAGGAACAGAAATAGAATAATTGCTAGATTAGGTATAGATTATGCTTTAAATTTCAATAAGGGTAAGGAAATGCTTTATAGAAACAGAACATAATTTTTGTTTGGTTGATGTTTTATTTGGTTTCAAGTAATATTTATTTTAGTTCATTTTAACTACATATGCAGTTTGTCAAACTGACGCACACAGATATCTTCTGAAATTCAGTGTGTAAAAGTGAATGAAAGGGACGTGGTGGCACTGTGGGTTAAACTGCAGAAGTCTCTGTGCTGCAAGGTCAGAAGACCAGCAGTCATAAGCTCAAACTGATGCAATGGAGTGAGCTCCCGTCGCTTGTCCCAGCTCCTGCCAACCTAGCAGTTCAAAAGCATGTAAAAATGCAAGTAGATAAATAGGGACCACCTCGGTGGGAAGATTGTCTTCAGACAAATGCTGGCTCTATTGTTTGGAAATGGGGATGAGCACTG